TCTTCTCCCCTGCCGCGGCCCGCAAGAACAGAGAGGGGAAGGCCTCTCTCATCCCCTCCACTCCCCCCATCCGATCTTCTTCGTTTGTGAACGCTTTTTGCGGATCGAGATGGCTCCGAAACGAGAAAAGTAAGCTCTCTCAATCCCTCCAATTTGTTTTAGTCAAGAAGCTTTCGATTCGACGCATTATTTGGCACAAGATGAACCCTATTTCATCTAGTAGATTTTGATTTTTGTTGTTTTTAGGTTTGTTTAATTAGGAGTAATATGATGTTTGATGTAGTTGAATATGATTTATGTGGTGATGTGGTTGAATGACTATGATAGAGCCTATTTTGTACAGTTGATGAACCCTAGTTCATGTTAATATTTTTTGAATTATTTATTGATGTTTGATGTGGTTAAATATGTTTGAATATGATTGATGAGTTGATGTGCTGATGTGGTTGAATATGTTGGATTTGTTAACTAGTTTGAGGATAGAACCTATTTGGCAAAGATGAGGTGATGAGGTGATGTGATGATGTGGTTTGAAGATGAATATGTTGGTAATTTTTATATATGTTTTTACAGTTGTTGAAATTGATTGGTTAATGTTCATATTCATAATAGGATAGAATAACTAGTTTGAAGATGAACCGCAGTTCATATTCATAATATTTTTTTACATTTGTTGGATATGATATGATTGATGTTAGTTGAACGGTTTAATATGATATGATTATATGTTCATAACCAAGTGTTCGTGTTTTAGGAGGCCCCCCATTGGTCCGGCGATCGGCACTAATTACACTATGCTTGACCCGGCATTCGACAACGGTCATCGAACCTGTTACATCGAGAAAGGAGTGGTAAATAGCACTGATCAACGTGTTGCATCACAATTTTGCCTTTTCAAAAGTTTTTTCTAACTATTTTCGTGTGCACATTGACAGATGCTTCCGCCCTTACGTATGAGGGGCCACACCAAGGTCAAAGAGATGGACTACGACAACCGCTACGAGCCATATTACAGGAGAGCCGGGCTCTTAGGTTTCATGCTCCAGTTCAAGCGTACGCCCCCGACGCTTGTCCACACGGCTCTCACAGCGTTGGTGGACCGTTGGCGGCCCGAGACACACTCTTTCCATCTCCCATGTGGTGAGATGACGGTGACGCTCGAGGACTTCGCCATGATCACGACCCTACCGATCAAGGGTCATGCTCTCATTGGGCGCGTGGATAGGAAGAACTGGCCGGACAGGGTTACCGCCCTCATCGGCGACTGCCCTCCAATCAAGAGTAACCGAACATCCGGTGTAGCACTGGCATGGCTCCTAGACCACCGGGCTGAATGCCCGCAAGATGCGGATCCGAGGACCGTGGAGCAGTATGCAAGGGCCTACCTGTGGTTTCTTCTCACAAAGGTGGTCTTTCCTGACTGCTCGGGGGACAACGCCCTATGGATGTACCTGGACTTCCTGGCCGACTGGGATGCAGGGTACAGCTGGGGGTCTCCTGGCCTCGCGTACCTCTACTGTTCGGTAAGACATCATACATCTCACCTATGTGTGTGGTTATTTAAATTGCTTTAAATTGTGTCATCTGATCATCACTTGTTGTTTGCAGCTGGATGACGCTTCGCAGAGGACCGAGAAAACATCTGGGATATGTGAGTGTGTCTGGGCCCTCTCGATTTGGAGTTGGGAGCGGCTGCCGGTTGGTCGCCCTGAGAAGCTGCCACGGACAGAGTGGACGGAGTATGGCGAGGATGGCGACCATTCTCGATACCCTACTGTCGCCTATTCTTGGGACAAGGTTAAGGTCTTCTCGGGCAAGGGAAGTGCGATGTACAAGGCCTTCACCAACGAGCTGGACAACCTGACATCTTTTCAGATATACCAATGAGCGAGATAGTTTTAAATGTTTATACTGTCACGATTGCTAATCAATCTTTGTATAGGTTAACTGGTGGCCGTACCACGATAGAGCTTGGGGGTTCGAGCTGAACGAGATGTGCGAGCGGGACTGCCTTCTCTTCCGGTGCATTGTCCCGCTGATATGCGTGTACGTCGTCGAATGGCACCTACCATAACGTGTGGCGACACAATTTGGCGTATTGCAACACACACCACCGGCAAGGCCCCACGACACCGGCGGTTACGACCTTCACAAGTATGTGCTGCCATCTCTTTACCATGATTTCTTTAAGTTCGACGTTCTTATGGTCTTTTGTGTTTTTTTGCTTGTTATGCCCCTATGCAGGAAGAGCAGACAGTATTCTCAGTCGATATTGGACTGGGCTGACGAGCACAAGTCTTTTGTGACAATGTGGGACGAGAGGACGTTCCGTAAAGATGGGGAGAGATCAGGCATTTGGTGGAATGTGTATGAGAGGCACATGAATTGGTATGACGATGGCATCAAGTTTCGTCTACGTCTGAGGCCACGATGGATGGAAGTGAACATGGCATCACTTCAGGAGGAGGAGGACTCTGAGGATGAAGCATACAAGAGAAACCTCAGAGATATGCAAAGTGATTTCAGGGAGTATGCGCCCCTTATGAAGAGAGTGGTAAGTTTTGTTGAAATGCATTCGAGCTAATGATGATGACATGGCCATTCTCGCTAACTTTTTAATGATCCTTGGATTTCCAGGCCGCAGAGCTAAACAGAAACATTTTCGACGGCTCGAATGCGCTAAGTTCTGACCCCGAAACCGTGGAGGGTGACAACAAGCTGAGGGAAGCGACGAAGGTAACTTTAAGCCTCATAGCATTCTATTGGAGCGAATGCAAATTTGATCCATGCCACATGTTCTTACTTATTTGCAACCCTATACCTGATCCAAGTCATACTCTACTATATTTATTATTGCAGAAGATCATTAACCGTTGCTGCAAGCTAGCGGGCATGCTTAGGTGCGCTGCCTCGATTGACATGCATGTTCCTCCTCCTGGTGGGTCGACACGTGCCCTAGCTTCATCAAGCCACACCGTAGGAGGTTCCTCGAGCCATGCCGCCTCGTCGTCTCGCCTTGTTAACGAGACCGAGGAAGAAGAGGAAGTGGACGAGGAGGAAGAGGAAGAAGAGGGAGAATAGGAAGGAGGTGACGACGAAGAAGGTGATGAGGAGGAGTGCGACGACGATGATGGACCTCAACCGACTCAGCCAACCCAGGCGAAGAGGGTATCTCATCCGCACCAGGATGTTCTGAGCCCATCACCGTTTCAGAAATCGATTCCTCGTCGTCGCTCGAAGAAGCCGGACGAGGGTTGCTCGAAGACAAACGAGGAGGAGCGTGCCGCCAAGAGGGGGAGGGGGAGGAACTAGTGATGTTGAACTTGCTAAGTTAAAGTAGTTGTCTTATGTTGAACTACTCGGTGTCCTGTTATTGCTACCTATGTTAGTAGTTGAACCTATTTTGATATGTTGAACTTAATGGATACATCAATTTTACTATCTATAAGTGTGAGGTTATCATAATTTCATATGCGAACACTTTTTGTTGATGTGCTTATCTATCTGTGATATTCCTGTCATATTGAATTTGAAAAGAAGCAAGCAACTGAACTTGGAAAAATAAAACACAGGACCCTACCGCCACGGCCTCTGGCGGTAGGGTCGCACAGACTACCACCAACCGCCAGGGCACTTTGATATTTCGTCATAGAAAGTTTGGGAGGCAAAACCCAGCCGCACCCTACCGCCAGGTGTGCTGGCGGTAGGGTACTTATCCACGTCAGCTCGGGCAAACGGCCGCCGTCCCCCTCCGTCGCACCCTACCGCCAGGGCCCCTGGCGGTAGGCTGTGTAACCCAACCGCCAGAGCCCCTGGCGGTAGCGAAAGGGTCAAATCCCGAAAAAAAATTCAACCGGGGTCAGATTCTGAATTTGTATGCCAAAAGGGTCAAAACACGAAATTCAGCCCCTCGCTTGCAAAGGTACTCGAATAGTAGTTGTAAAAACACGATGAACCCTTTGTTTGCAAAGGTTTAATAATTATTACTGCCGACACCTCTTGCCTCTGGTAAAAAAAGATGCTAGTACTACATCCCCCAAATCCATACCAACGAACAAAAATTGTACAAATCGCAGTCGGTCACTGTGAATTCGCTGCTGAATCAGCATTCCTGATCCGAATGGACAGGTTTCAGTCGAGCATTCAATTCACCACGGCAACACCAAAAATCAGCGAATCTTGTGCCCCGTCGGTCAAGCTAGCGGAAAGCCGAAAGACAAGACCAAAACCACTGCCGCACATGCATATTGCATTGGCACGGCGTGCCAGAAAGAGGGACGGCACCCGCCGTTGGTACGCAGGTACGTGCTTGCCCTCGGTTGGCCCACATACCACAGACTACACGCCCCAGCTTTCGTCCTAAACCCGGGCAAACGTCGGGCCGGGCCGGGTTTCAGGCTGGGCTTGTAAAAGCCCGACCTTCATTTCTCAAGCCCGAGCCCAGCCTGAAGCCCGAAATACTCTCTGTTTTGAAGCCCGAGCCCGGCCTGAAATCAAGCCCGAAGCCCGAAAGCCCGGCCCGAATGTTGCTTTTTAGTACACGCACGTGTAAGCCTGGCCCGAAGCCCGAAAGCCCAGCCCGAAATTCAGAAAATAGAAGCCAGAGCCCGGCCTGAACTATCTTTCGGGCCGCAAAACAAAGCCCGAGCCCGGCCCGAATGTCAAGCCCGACCTAGCCTGGCCCGGGTTTTTCGGGCCGGGCTGTCCATGCCCGGGTTTATTTCGTTCGTCCCCCGTCCCAGCCAGCTGGCCATCCACCACTTGGTCCTCAGGAGATCGCCATGGCTTCATCGAATTGTGAGGACAGAAAGTTGGTCCTTGAAATTCCTGGGTGTGCCCCACTCACCAACCAGCACTTCATAAAAAAAATTCTTACAAGATATGTGCATCATGTCGCATTTGATATAAACATCAGGGTCCATTATACATGATCTTATTTTGGTTACATCTCCCCCAGGATGATCACCGTCCATGGTTCTCTATAGTCCGGATGCTAATTCTTAGAGTTTCATGAGCTTAATCTGTGAACCGTGTTGGAGCTGTAGACTCGAGACTGGGTAAGGCGCATGCGTGTAAGATGGTGAGAGCTCAAAGATAAAGTGTTGTAGGATCACACTCAATCCCATCTTGGCCTCCAGCAATGCAAAGTTCTGCCAGACGCAAATCTGTGGTCCCCAGCCGAACGGAAATAACGTTGGCGAGTTTTTCGATGCGCCAGCGATACCCTCCGCAAACCTCTCAGGCTTAAATTCATCGACATCTTCTCCCCACACATCTGGATCCTGGTGAATGCACACAATTGGCAGCGCAAATGTTACCCCAGCTGGATATGTGATGCCTCCCAGCTTCGTCTCTTTATACGCCTCCTGACCATGTAGTGGAATTGGTGGGTACAACCTAAGAACCTCATGCAGTATCATTGTCACCTGCAGCACCGACAAAGAAGATGGACATAATCAGAGTAGCAACTCGATGAGAAATTGCATCACCTACTCTCTTGTAATGTACTCACCACTTTCAGCTTGTTTATGCCCTCAGAATCCGGTTGGTTCTTTCCCAAGACATGCAGAACCTCCTCCCTGGCGCGGTCCTGCCACTCGTGATGAAGGCTTATCAAGACCATTGCCCATGTGAGCAGCACCGCGGTTGTCTCCATGCCCGCAAAATAGAAGAGCTTCAGCTCCCCTACTATGTCCTCGGTGGTCATCGTTGGCTTGGAGCTTCCAGCTTCTTGGCTTATATTTATGTTGGCCTCCATCATCACGCCTAGTAGATCGTCGTTGTTGGCATGGCCGTCCTTCATTGCCCTCTCCCTCTTGGTGATTATGCCTTTGAGGAGTGCTTCGACCTCATGGGCATTTGCCTTCATCCTCCTATTGAGCTTTGTTGGCAGGAATCTGAATAGGAACATTATATCAGATCGCACGCCACTATATTTTTTGGGAGATTTTATGGTGCATTATAATATACCAGAGCACATGTATTATATGGCCGATCTAACATATGAGAATAATTGGGCCTTTTTAAGCCCAAGGGTATTTTCAACCTAATTTTTTTACCTTTAATCGGCCCAATTTGGTCCAGGGGTATTCTCGTCCTAAATTTTTTGGTTAAATTAATTGCATTAATAAAGCACTTCATTATAGAGGTCCCATCATCGTGCGTACTCTTTTGAATTTCGGTTCGAGCGGTTCGTCCTCTCTCCTCCTCTCGAGCCCTAACCTCGGGCGCCCTCGATCGCCGCCGATCGCCTCCGGCGCCCTCGATCGCCGCCGATCACCCCTGGCGCCCTCGATCGCCGCCGATCGCACTCGCCGTGTCTACCCCTCCTGCTCCTACTCCCCCTCACTCCCTCCATCGCAAGTCACCCCAGTCGGGTCGCGGCGCCAGATCCTTCCCCGAGCGGACGCCACCTTCCCCGACCCGAGAGGCCACATCATCCTCATCAACGTGCATCAACTTTTTCACGCCGGATCTTCGCTGTAAGTGCCTAGCCATCTCAAATCTTTTCTGGTCCCTTCTGCATATAGAACCAATAGGGGTCGGATTTGATTCGGGTTTAGGATATGTCATGTGAGGTTTAGGGTTTATCGTTTCAGAAAGTTGTGAGGAGATTTCGGTCGGATTTGGTTAGGGTTTAGGATATGTCATCTGAGGATTAGGGTTTATGTTTTCAGAAAGTTGTGATGAGATTACGATTGAAAGGAAGTGTAAGTCGGATGTAGCTACGACATATTGAAGGACTTAGTTAGGATTATGTGGCATGAGAAAGTTGTCAGCGGATTTGGATTCAAAGAAAGTTATTTTGGATTTAGTTAGGAGATACTTTTGAATTGAGTTTCGAGATATTTTGGATTTAGTTAGGAGATAATTATTTTGTATGGAGTTTGGACTTATTTTGGATTTAGTTAGGAGATAATTTGGATTTAGTTAGGACATACTTTTGGATTTTGTTACGAGATAATTTGGATTTAGTTAGGATATAATTTTGAATGGACTTTGGAGATAATTGATCTATCAGGATGGATCTATCAAGGCATTTGAAGGACTCGTGGACTTTGGATTTAGTTAGGAGATCATCAGTTAGAGCTAGTACAATCAATTACAAATTTCTGGATTTAGTCCGGGCATATTTACTTACAGCTTTTGAAGGACTGAGTTAGGTACATGAATCCGATATGAAAAATTAAATCAATTATTTAAGCAGAGTAGTGCATAATTTCGGTAACGTATGCTATCCATCCGTAACATTGACTATCTGTTTCCGCTGGCAGCATAACGACATGGAAGATAAAGGCAACGATGGCAAAAACTTGGGTGATACAGGCAAGGACGACAAGGACATGGGTCATAGAGGGAACAAAGGCAAAGGCATGGACCCCAAAGGAATGGATGGTATGTGCATGGATGGTAAGGATAATGAGTATGCAGGCAAGGATGGCATAGACATGGATGATGTACACATACAAGGTAAAGGAATTGATAATAAAGGCATGGCTGGTTCAGACCTGAATGAGTGTATGGAATACTTAGAGATTGTGAAGAAGACGTTCAGGACTGAGGAAGAAGCCCCCACTGGAATGGTATCCACTCGGAATGGTCTGCCCGGTCCGAGTGATGGCCAAACAACAAAAAAAGACACGTTCCAGGCGTGAAGAAATTCCGAGTAATCAGTTACTCAATGCAGGACCAGCTCCAAATCACTCCAAAAAAATGCTATAAGGTGAGTTTAACGCTCCTCCGTGGACCTGTTTGAGCTCATTTCACTCGGACACCATACAGTCTGGAATCTGTCAAGGCAACATGCGGAGATAAGATCGCCGGGTGACCAGAGGGAGTTCATAAGGGCCTCCGCAGCACTCGACTCATCTGGGAATTCACCTCGACTCGACCCGCTCAACCTCGACTGATTCGGGGCTAATGACGAGGACATGTATTGGGGGTAGGGTAACAGGCCTGACCTAAAGGCCCTACCCATGGACACCGTATACTTTGTACTGGGCCCCTGGGCCAGATCGCCGTCTAGATGTACCGCAACTTGAAAGTCACTCGGACGGCGACAACCACTCGGAGCATAGCACTCCACTCGACCAACTCATTCCACTCGGAGCACCTGATCTCACTCGGATATGCGAAGACCAGCAGTCGACAAGGCACTCGAAGCATCATCTTAGTAGTAGGCTGAGTTATGGCATTAATGCCCCCACTTTGTAACATAGGAGGTGAGGGGGTGGCGCACTCTATATAAGCCACCCCCACCGCTAGACTGGGGGGCTTTTTTCTGCCACCTCTCTCTCTTTCTCACCATTAGTCTCAGGACATAGCTCAGGCATGGAGATCCGCTCTCCCCTCTCTCTATCTCAAACACACATTGTAATCTCCGGATACATACTCAGATAAAACAAAGCCTCTCTCGAGCACGAGACGTAGGGTTGTTATCTCCACCGTGAGAGGCCCAAACTCGCTAAAACCACCGTGTCACCCATTTGCATCTCGATAGATCATGCTCCTTTATCCTACCCCTCTCTTATTGTCGGAATCGTTCCGATGACAGCAGATACAGAAGAAGAGACAGAGGCAGATACAGAAGAAGAGGAAGATTCAGGTACAGAAGAAGAGGAAGATTCAGGTACAGAAGAAGAGGAAGATTCAGATGCAGAAGAAGAGGGAGATTCAGATGCAGAAGAAGAGGGAGATTCAGATGAGGAAGAAGAGGAAGATTCAGATGCAGAAGATGGCGGGCTGAGGAGGGCTACAAAGAGACCATTGGAGGTTGCAGAAGAGGATTACGCAAAACCAAACTAGTGGAAATTAGCACAATTGTGCATACTTAAACATGTTTTCGAATGCTGGCTGCAGATTCATCTATTTCATTTTTTGCAGGAAACGCAAGGGCGCTCCAAATGTCAATGCTGGGAGGACGAAAAAGAATGATGACAAGGGTGTGCGAGGAAAACCAGTGAAGTTAGTGTCTGTACTTACATGTCCGCTCTATAAGTCGGGTATTTGGTAGTACTGTGTTGACATTTCTTAACTTTTCCAGGAAAGACTGTAGTAAGGGCGGTAAAAAACAGGCCAAAGGGGTGATGAAGACAAAAAGGTCTGATAGGAATGTACCACAGGCTGAGCGAATAAGAGCTGTCAAGTTATCTTCTGTAGCTATGAAGAGAAAATCAGTGAAGTTAGTGTTTTTTCTGTTATAGTGTACTGTACATGCTCAAATCTTCTTTGCTATCCTATTAACAAACGTTGTTTCATGCAGGAAAGCTAAAGTGAAGTCGAGACATGATGTTTAGATGCACAGGGTCAAGCAGAGAAAACAAAAGGATTTCAGGGGTCGAAAAATTGAGAACAAACTAAAGTAGACAGTTTTCCATGCCGTGATCCACCTTGTTTCTCATGTATTAGACCTATTTGATGGACTGCCACTATTTTTCTGAATTCCTCTTTTGATTGTTACACCCTCATTTTATTATGGACGGGTCCACATGGTAGGCTAGTTATGATTTATCAACATTGATGGAACAATGCATTTTTAGTGCAGTTGGTTTTCTATTTTTTTTTCATTTTTTACATAAATATATTGCTGAAATTTGTTCAAAGTGTAGTCAAATTTCATACTTGAAATATAAAATAGAAACCGAAAATTTATATATATAAGAAAATAGAATGTTAATAGAAACCTCGTTTTCAAATAACATTGAAAATCGTTTATTTTCAAATAAAAAATAAGCATACTGATATTTTAAAAATAGCATGCTCATTTGAAAAAAAACATGTTCAATTGAAAATAAAATATAATGAATATGCTGATTTAAAAATATCATGCTGATTTTAAAAATAGCATGCTGATTTTAAAATTATGCTACTTTTAAAATAACATGTTAATTTCAAAAATAGCATGCTAATTTTAAAAATAGCATGGTACTTTTAAAAATATAATGCTTTTTTCAATATGCTACTTTTAAAATAGCATGCTGTTTTTGAAATCAGCATGATATTTTTTAAAAATAGCATGTTTATTTTAAAAATATAATGCTTTCAATATGCTACTTTTAAAATAGCATGCTGATTTTAAAAATAGCATGATGATTTCAAAAATAGCATGCTGATTTCAAAAATAGCATGCTGATGTAAAAAAAATAGCATGCTGATTTCAAAAATAGCATGCTGATTTCAAAAAAAACCTGTTTTTTTTCGAATATGTTGTTTTTAAAAATAGCATGCTGATTTCAAAATAACAGCCTCATTCTAAAAATACAACGTTGTTTTTAAAAATATAACGCTGTTTTTAAAATATAACGCTGTTTTTAAACTGATTTCAAAAAATACATGCTTTTTAAAATATGCTATTTTGAAAGCAGCGTGTTGATTTTGAAAACAACATATTTTCAATTACGCTTTTCAAAAGATAGCATGTTTTTTAGTATATACTGTTTTTCGAATTAAAAAAACATCATTTTGAAAATAGCATGCCATCTCGAAAGTAACAGAAACAGGTCCCGCTCTTTGTTTTGCATTTCATTTTTTTATGCGACACACATACAAACCGCATTTTCAAAATAACTCGTACTGGCCAACACACAAACCTTGTTCAAAAATGAAAGTAGTGTCTAATCCATTTGAAACCCGGTTAGATTTGATTCTAAAAATACTAGCATCATTGTGGCAAAAAAAAAGGAAATATAATTGCAGTCCATAAAAATAATTATATCAAGGAGGGTACCAGGGTGCGTTATATATATAGACTTGCATAGCAAGTACATTACGCCACATAGGGTTCATACTACCACCAAGTTACTGCCAAGTTCCACTAACTGGACGATCTTCATATCCAGTCGGACCCAAAAGTTATACCACCAAAGTACC